ACTGATTTGTTTGTACAACAGTTCTTTGGCTTTTTAACCTGTGCTGCAGCCTGTCTGTTTTGGCTTATAGAGTAATTAGACAATGATATAATGCTGACACAAATAAACATAATGTTAGGAAGTCAAGCTTCTACGCTGCTTTTTTATTTTGCGACACTGAAATGTTTATTTTTGTTGCTTGGTGTGTGGACATGTGATGGGTCTGAAGGCACTGCTGTGTCATGAAGTTTGGGTGGGCACGTCCTGCACCAGCATAGTGAAATACAGCAAACACATTTGGAAGCTGACGTGTACCACAGGCGCAGCCCAAAGTAGGTGGGTTCGGGAGGGCATGGTATGATGTTGAAGTGAGTGGGTGCAGGCAAAATGGTGCCAGATTTTGTGGGCAGCAATCACACTCAATTTTGCTGGTGCAAGTGGACGTGATTAGTGGTTGAATCGGGTGGGTGCAGGATTAATAATCAGGCCAGTGCAGACCTCTAAATCATGTGAAACAAAATCTTATTGTACTGATTTACATTAAAGTTCCTCCCTGAGCTGCTCCAGTGCCAGCTCCCTGGTCTGAGCATCTCCCAGTTCACCCCAGGTCCTACTCAGCTGGCCATCTAGTCTACCTCCACCACTGATCCAGCACCCATGCTATCCACCACCAAACAGGTCATCAAGTCAAGTCAATTCTGCTGACCAGGGCTTCAAACTGATTGCCTGCAGTCCAGTTCAGTCCTGATCCTGTGCCTATTGCTGGTCCAGCCTCTGCCTCCATTCTGGACCCCTTTGCTGGGCTGTGCCCCACTATGGAGGTTTTGACTGTGCTTGCTGACAATTTGGGCTTGTGCTTTGGGAGCTGCACATTAAGGAGGGGGTGGGGCTCACATACCTGCCTAGTGTCTGGACTCATTAACTCCAATATGTAAACACTGCTTCACTCTTGTGTGCCTTTCCATGCAGTTCTGAATATTGTTCTCTGTTTTTTATGGATTGGTCTGGTGTGTTGCTGTGTGTTCTGGAACCTGACTGTGATGGCAAACTAGAGGCAAACTGATGCTGTTGCTTCTTCTGCCTTGATCGGGTGCCACTGCTCACCAGCCTTCTGGACACTTTCAGCCTTCTGGACCCTTTTGACCACCACTGAGCTTCACGCTGTACAAAGCTGTGCAAACCTCTCCCTCATGAACCGACCCTCATGATGCTGCTGCTGCTGCTGCATAAATTCAAACTATCTAATTAACCGTTGCTCCGCCTGTTTTTCCCCGTTTTGTATTATAATATTTTACACTAACACTGTTTGCTATCCGGTGTCAACCAGAGGAGGATGGGTTCCCCTTTTGAGTCTTGGTTCCTCTTCATTTCTTCCTCTTGCTCTTAGGTTTTTCCTTGCCACTGTCGCCACTGCAACGCTCATGGGGGCTCGGACCCGGATTTTTCTGTAACGCTTGTTGTAAAAAGCACTATATATATAAACTTTGACTTGAACAGAGAAGGCCACCTACACCATCAGGCTGGAACCTGCTCCCACACTACTGCCTAGTGCTAGAGAGCACCCTAAACTAGTGCTCAACTTCAAGACACCATTCAGTGGAGAACACCAGTGAGCCTGTGTCCACCTACTCTCCTGACTTGCTGCCTGCCCCAGCTGCTCCAGTGCTGCCTCCCCACATCTCCAGGGCCAGCTCCCCTTGCAGCTTCAGTACCAGCTCCTCCTGCAGTTCCAGTGCCGGCTCCTCCTGCAGCTCCAGTGCCAGCTCCCCCAGCTGCTCCAGTGCTGGCTACCCCCACACCTCCAGTGCCAGCTGCTCCAGTGCCAGCTCCCCCCACATCTCCAGTGCCAGCTCCCCTGCATCTCCAGTACCAGCTCCCCCTGCAGCTCCAGTGCCAGCTCCCCCACATCTTCAGTACCAGCTCCCTCTGCAGTTCCAGTGCCAGCTCCCCCTGCAGCTCCAGTGCCAGCTCCCCCACATCTTCAGTACCAGCTCCCTCTGCAGTTCCAGTGCTGGCTCCCCATGTCTGAAGCCCTGTACACTCCTGTCCCTCTTGGTTCAGCCACTGCTCAGTTCTGTGCCACCTCAGGATGTTTTGACTGTGCCTCTCTATGGTCCAGAAGGATAATTGGCTTACAAGGGGTGTGTGTGTGTGTGTGTGTGTGTGTGTGTGTGTGTGTGTCTGTGCGCGCGTGTGTGTGTGTGTGTGTGTGTTTTATACAGTAAAATTGCCTACTGAAATAAAAAATATGGACATGTAGGAATAATTTCATAACATAGAAAAAAAACAAACAAAAAAACAAAAGAATATTGTTAAAAAGCTACACTTCAGCAACATTTGTGTTGGGACATGGAAAGTGCTCCTCCTAACAATGATTTTGTAAAATATTATTCTTAGTGGCCCTGCGATGGACTGGCGACCTGTCCAGGGTGTATCCTGCCTTCCGCCCAATGACAGCTGGGATAGGCTCCAGCACCCCACTGCGACCCAGAAGGATAAGCGGTTTAGATGATGTATGTAT